TGGCTAAATGTTTTTCTGTTATACACTGGGAGATAGTTAGCATGAAAAGAGAACTCAAACCATTTTACATACGTAAAATGCACATTCTGAATTCTTGCATCAGGTACAATATGAAAATAAACCCATACGCACCTCATACACACTGGTGATGGACAGTCTGTAGAAGACTGGGAGAAAGACCTCAGAGGTGACCACCACTGTCAATATATAGGCAACACAAAATAATCCAACAATGGCTCCGTAGTGGTACACCTACAGCACAGAGCAGAGATTTTTTTTTAGCAAACTCACAATGACTGGTAATGAACTATGACATGCAAATGCTAAGAATCATTTGGGTTTTGTGTCATCAGCAGTCACAGCTAGGATGATAGGAAGTTGTCACTGTGCAGGTTGAAGACCAGTATGTATTGTAATGTACTGTACAGAGTAACAGTCTTCATTTATACAAAAGATACAAATGCGGTCTCTTAGAGGATGTTCATGTTGTATTTTTATTTATAATATATAAGTTCAATTCATTCAGATTCTCATCTGAAACATACATTCAAGTTTAATTTTTGAAGCAGTTTAACAAGAGCTTTTCACAGTTTGTCAGATGATTTTTGTTTGACTATTGCTCTGTTATTGTGACTGTAATACTGAACTTAATAACGCATGAGCCAAAGTTCATACACTTAAATACCAGAGGTAGGGGACTCAAGCCATATGACTTGACTTGAATCAGACTTAAGTCAGAAATTTAAGGACTTGAGACTTGCTTGACTAACATCTGCCTTTTTATTTAAATCCAGACGCTTTTATTTCAAAAGGTCATTTTTCCAAAGTCGGCTTTTATTGCACAATACCCTTTTCCCCATTGGCCTATTTATTTCAAAATGCCACTTTTCAGCAGAATGACTTTGTCTGTCAATCAGTACTAGTGGGTGGGACCTGCTGATCCTTTGACATCGATTCGTTTTCCTGTACGCCTGTGTGGGGCTGTGTAGCTAGATACAACGGGAAACGTTGGAAGTCATGAGAGATGGCAGACTTGAGTGAACTCCGTGAAGTCCTGCTTACTTTAGCAGATCAAACAGAGAGAAATCACTTGCCAGCAGATGCTGTTTTGAGTCGTTTGGATGATATTTTTGAAATGCTCGGGATGTTAATTGCTCTTCAAGGTGCTCACATTGATGACGCAATTTTCGACAGTTTGAGAGCAA